CCTATGTTACAATTAGACATGTTCTGATTTTTTATCATTTTGTGTAACATATTAATAATCTCACTATGGGACGTTTTGACTGACGGCACCCCATTTTATCTCTCATTAAATTAAGAATTATAGTCCTTTAAATGACATCAAATAATTTATAGAGGACAAGTTCATTATTATTATTGTTATTAGACAGCGAGCATCATAACCTGTATTTAATCAAACAAAAATTTCAAATTAAGCAAAAACTGTTAACTTCGCAATCTATCTCCTTTATTAGAATCAATAAACCAATTTTTCGTAACTATACGTATTAGGGAAATTTTATTCCTGGGTGAAAATGACCCTCCGGTAAAATTTTAGGGGTAGTGTGGATCGGAATTATGTCGATGCTAGCTGGGACGATCATCTAATAAACATATGCCTAGTCTAATTGATTTTTGTAAAAACTATGCCGCAGTCTTTATATTAAAAGATGCTTTTGGATATGAGTGACGAAAAGGGAAAACCTGTAAATCATCTCACTTAATAAATAAAATGATTTACAGGTTTCCCCTTTTCGTCACTCATATTTAACACTTAATAATATTTTTTTTTAATTTAGACATATTTTACTCTCTACTGTATTCTTAACAAAGTTACATTTTCAGATTTTACATACTATAATAAAATTTTCGATTAAAAAATTTATTTTAGATTGATATATATAAAATCTAATCCAAACCGTATATATATTATATACATTGGTAAAACTATATATGAAGTGCAAATATTTTAATGTAACTTTATAAAAGTGTCAAGGCTTCTTTTTATCAATTCTGGTGTTAATTCATCGCACAATTAAAGCTGAATAGCCATTTAAATTTTCTGTTATTGCTACATAATTAACTAATTAAAATAAAATCATTAAAAAAATATATTACCATTGCTATTATTTTCGTACTACGTAAAAATCAGCACTATTGTAAATTCATATTGGACTAATGATCCGGATGGCGTTAACATAATTCCGGCCGCACTAACCCTAAATTCTAGGGGGGTCATTTTGACCGGGCCAAAATAGCTGCCCCAGTGAGACCATAAATTTTTTTTGAATGATCGTCGCCAATAATACGCTTTTTTTAAAAAACAGACAATAACTAAAAATTTTGACTATGAAACCACTTTCTGCGCTCTAATAAAAAAAATTTCTCGCATATTGTAATCCCTATACCAACCCTAACATGAGGTTTTAGTACTTTAAAATATTATGCATATTAAAGTTGGTTAGATTATTCGAAAAGATTTGATTGGTGCATATACGACGATCTCACTGGCCAAAATAGGTATTTCCCTTCTTTATCATCTAGAAATGCGATACGTTATAATACTATACATGGTGTACGCGACAATTTTGCCAATCGTCTCTACTGACAACTGACTCTAATTCTTAACTATTAGCCGGATCTGTTAACTACAGGTCAAACAAATGTATATTCTTGGGGTCCGATGTTTCCTGATGTAGGAAGTGAAAAAACTCAAATTACATGCAAGGTTGAAAAAACTTTCGAAAAACCACGTAATTATGTAAATTTCAAAATGCATTTTAATTTTATTTATTAAATTTTTTTGAAATTAAATCAATAAAATATTTGAATTACTTCTTTATTAATAAGTTTTTTTACGTTTTTTGTTGAGGAAACTTTGACTTTTCTTGATAATATCTTATAAAAATAAATATAAAGGTCTATTCATTACAATTGGGTTGCTCATAATTTTAGTAATAGTTATATACCATCCAGTTGAAGACCTGTAGAGTATATTATGACTTTAACATTCACCTAACCTCGAAATATACATGCTAAGAAATAAATTACTCAAATTCACCATTAAACCATCTTAATTGTCCGCTTATTCATCAGTCAACTACTCTCATGTATTTCTGAATTCACAGCGGAGTATTTCATGATTCATTTCCGTAGGAATTTTAATAAGTTTTACAGGATTCATTTCAACATTTTGACCTCATTCTACGTTTCTAAAGCAATTCATTAGTTCTATATAATTAAACCTATTTCAAGATCAATATGATTTTTAATTTTCGTGAGAAAAACATTACAGGATTTTAAAAATAAAAAAAAAACATACACTTGACGTTTTAGAAATTGACTAAAATGAACTTTCTTAATAAGAATGATCAGAATTAATTTTAACAAAGCTAAAAACTATTAATCTCATCAGAAATAATATCATCATATGAGAGCATAAAAAACTCTTATCAGAATATAGCTTTCATCATCTAAGAGCGAATGGTAATAGCTACATAATATTCATTATCATAATTTAAATGTGGAACGGTCAATAATGACCCCATCTCACAACTAGCACCAGCATTACGAACAAAAATGAAATTTACAACAAATAGTAATTAAAAATGCAGAACGGTCAATAATGGCCCCATCTCACAATAAGCATAAAAGCAAAAAAATAGCACGAAAATCAGTACAACAAATAGCGAGTAAAAATGTGAAACGACCAATAATGGCCCCATCTCACAATAAGTGTAAAAGCAAAAAAATAGCACGAAAATCAGTACAACAAATAGCAAGTAAAAATGCGGAATGGCCAATAATGGCCTCATTCCACAATAAGCATAAAAGCAAAGAAATAGCACGAAAATTAGTACAACAAATAGTGAGTAAAAATGCAGAATGGCCAATAATGGCCCCATCCCACAATAAGCGTAAAAGCAAAGAAATAGCATAAAAATCAGTACAACAAATAGTGAGTAAAAATGCGGAACAGCTAATAATAGCCCCATCCCACAATAAGTGTAAAAGCAAAGAAATAGCACGAAAATCAGTACAACAAATAGCGAGTAAAAATGTGGAACGGCCAATAATGGCCCCATCCCACAATAAGCGTAAAAGCAAAAAAATAGCATGAAAATCAATACAACAAATAGCGAGTAAAAATGTGGAATGGCTAATAATGGCCCCATCCCACAATAAGCGTAAAAGCAAAGAAATAGCATGAAAATCAATACAACAAATAGCGAGTAAAAATGCGGAACAGCCAATAATGGCCCCATCCCACAATAAGCGAAAAGCAAAAAATAGCATGAAAATCAGTACAACAAATAACGAGTAAAAATGCAGAATGGCCAATAATGGCCCCATCCCACAATAAGCATGAAAGCAAAGAATACATGAAAATAAGTACGAGAGCAAAAATGCGAAATGACATCTTCAACAATTAGGCAACTATCATGAATTAAAAAGATACATTTAATTTTATTCTGTCAAATACCTCTACATAATATACAGATTTACTAATTTAGTCCAAGTTTTAAATTTTCATGCTTAAATTCATGCAAAGAACAGCATGTTTTCTATCTTCGTGCCAAAACTTCGAATTACTTTGTTAGAAAAATAGAATGGGAGTTTAATAATTTAATATCATATATATATATATTATATACAGTGTTGTCACGTCAAGACTTTTTAGACCATGTTCAATATCCAAACGTCCACATGTCCAAGAATGATTACAGCATATACAAGCTTCAAAAATTAATATAAAATATATGATTATTTATTTTTTATTTATTTGCCCAAAAATGTCACAACTGTTCCATGCCAACACTAATTATATATATTATATATTATATATACTAGGAATCGGAAACCGATATAAGTCCGGAGCATAAATAAATAATGTATAAATAAATACAGTATAAATAAATAAAGTATAAATATCTTATGAACTTCGTATTACTAATCAACTAGGTCTCAGGCCCGGGCGTTGCCCCGGGAATAGATCCTAATTAATCTAGGTCTCAGGCCCAGAAATAGATTTTAATTAATCTAGGTCTCAGGCCTAAGTGTTGCTCCAGGAATAGAACTTATTTAATCTAAATCTCAGACCTGGGTGTTGCTCTGGGAATAGACCTTAATTAATCTAAATTTTAGGTCTGGACTTTGCTCTGAAAATAAATATTATTTAATCTAAATCATAGATCTAAAAGTTGTTTAATTATTTAATTGTATAATAAATTATTAAAATACAAAATCAAATATAATAAAAGTATTTATTAAATATAATATAATAAATATAAAAATTTTATAATATAAATAAAATATATAATATAGACCAAATATATAAAATATATAAAATATATAATTTATACAATATATAAATAAAACATAATCAATATAATTTATATAATCAATATAATTTATATACTAAATAAAATTAATAATAAATATATATAGTAGTAAATAAATATAATAAATATAATATATATAATATAATCATTCAAAAATCTCTTTATATACAATATTTTTTGTAAATGTTCCAATTATAATATTGTTTTGCTCATTTTTAACTAATATTTTAATATTTTTTCTTAATTTAACTCTAGATAAAGCAACATATAGTTGTCTATAAGCAAATACAGGTACTGGCAAATATAAACCAACATATAGAATTGTTTGGCCTTGTGTTTTATTAATAGTTATTGCAAAGGCTAAACGTATTGGAAACTGGTATTAAATTAATTGAAATGATAAATTTGAGTCAGAAGGAGCTATTTGAATTTGAGGAATAAAAACTTATTTTCCAAGATATGAGCCTATAATAATTTCTGCATCAATAACATGTTGTTGAATTTCTTTAATAATTAATTTAGTTCCATTGTAAAGATCTTCACTAGGACTAATATTACATAATAAAATTATTGAAACTCCAATTTTTAATATTAATTTATGAGGAGGAGTTCCATTTGGTGTCAAAGTATTTAGAAATTTAATTGAATAAAGATTTTGATATACTAAATTCTTATCCTTAACAGAATCTGCTAATAAAAATTCATATAAATATCCTAGAAATATATTAATAATTTCTCATTAATATAATCTACATCTTCATTTTTTAATGTGAGAATAACTCGATCTTTAATATAATTTGAATAATTATCAGTTTGATAATTATTATTAATATCAGAAAATGTATTCAATATTAATGATTCAATTTGTTCATTATTAAAGACCATATTATCATCTAATCTCATAATATTATTACTAATATCAGTATATATTAGTTCACAACCTTTATTAATTTTTAATAAATAATTAGCAAATTCTTTTTTTTTTTATTCTGACTTTGAAGTCTCATATTAATTGTTAATATCAATATTTTAATATGTTTTTATAAATAAAAAGATTTAATATAGACATTAACAATTTGTGTTTGTGTTCCTCAAGATACAACAGACAAAATTTGCCTAAAGTCACCACCAATTACAACAATTTTTCTTTCAAATGGTTCATCATTTTTCATTAGATCTTTGAGTGTTTGATTAAGTGCTTCAAATGCATATTTGTGTACTATTGGTCCTTTATCCCAAATAATAAGCTTACTACTTTGTATTAAATCAATCAAATCAGACTGTTTACTAATATTTAAAGTTGTAGTTTCAGTAATTTTTAAAGGAATTTTAAATCTGGAATGTGTAGTTTTTCCTTCAGTTAATAGTAAAGCTGCAATTCTAGATGAAACAATTGCAAGAGCAATTCCAAAACTTCTTCTTATTCATACCAATAGCATGTTAAATAAAAATGTTTTTCTTATACCTTTAGGTCCATCAACAAAAAAGACTTTTTGTTTAGTTGTATTATTTTTATCATTTGCATTATTTTCATTTAAAGCTTTAATAATAGTATTATAAATTAATTTTTGATCAATATTTAAAAGATATTCTTTTTGTAATGTATAATTAATTTCATTTGAATCAAAATCAACTTTCTGATTCCATATACTATATTTCTTAGCATCTTTAACCAAACTATAATTAGATACAGGAAATGAGTAATCAGTTAAATGTTTTTCATAATATAATAAATATTTTTCAATATCTATTAATGCTTTGGTAATGATTACTCAATATTCATATGCAGTTAATTTATTTTTTTCTGTAAGTTTTTTTTGTTTTCTTTTATAATTTTTAACTAAAAAATATACATTTTCATAAAATAATTTTTTTGGATCTAATTCCTGTAAATCACAAAATAGCAAGATTGAAGCAAATAATTGTCATAATTTTGATGACATTTTAAAAAATGCAGCTTCCTTAATGTATTTATCAAATTTATTATTTTCTTCATCTAATAATCCAAGTTGATGAGCTGCATCTTCATATGTATTATAAAGTATTTTATTTTTACAATTCGAATTGCTTTAAAATTAATAGCATCTTTGACTTGAGCTAATAATATTCATAAAAAAATCTTTCTTTTTCATGTGAACTACACATATATATTCTAGAAATAATTTTTTTACCACCTTGTTTTTTTTGTTTTCAGAATCCATTATTTCAAACAAAAAATTTTGGAAAATCTATATATCATAAATTCATTATATAAGAATCATTTTGATTTGCATTATACATATCAAATTATCTTGTTAATTTTATATTAAAAGATTTTGGCAACACAGTAGATATTTGTTTATTTTGATTAACAATAATAGATTGCTAATCTTCTAAATGAACTGGTAATCATTCAACTTTATGTAATCTTTCTTACAAACCAAAATTAAATAATCTCCAACATGCTTCAATAGCAGAAACATAACTTGCATTTATATATTACCCAATTTTATTTTTAGGATTTCTAATTATAATAATAGCTTGATCAGATCCTTTATAAATATATTTGTAGAGATATTTTACTGATCGAATACTTGAGCATATCTCTATATTAATATGACAATTATATTTTTGACAAAGTTATAGATTGTAAAGAACAATCCATCTATTATCAATAATATATTGTCCTTTTTTAATTGTTCTTTTATTATCTCTTCTTTGATAAATTGAATATTCAAATTTATTAATTAATGTTGTTGTAGTAAACTCTTTATGATAATGTTTACTATATTTACTATTTTCTATACATTATGATTTTGGATTCAAGTTTCTACAGAAGCCATGAACCATATTTTTGCTTACTGTTTCATAAAGCAGAGGTTGGAGATTTTTATTAGAAATTTCTGTACAAACTATTTTATTAAAATCTTCAGGTGTTTTTGACTTATCTTCAGATGCTAATATCATAAGAATATGTGCATGTAGCAGTCCTCTTTTTTGAAATTCAATTGTATGAACATATGCAATAACTCTTCCAAGTATACCATTTATAAATAAATCTTGTATAATTGCTTGAAGTTTTTGTTTAAAAACTTTAGCAACTATATCAGATTTATCAAAAGTTTGTTGTTTTTTATTTTCAGATCTGTTTAATAATTCATTGATTACTTCTGGCCATTTGGAATTGCAAGTTACAGTAACAAATAAATCAGATTTGCCATATTCTCTAACAATTGGCATAGAATCTTAATATAGTTGTTGCATATACTGTTGAGATCTAGTAAAAGATGATACTAAAATAACTTTTTTGTCAATATTTTTCATAGTAGTATTATCAGAATCAATAATGTCTTGTAGATCTGAATAAATTTCAGATCTAAATTGTAATTGATTTTTTCTATACTATCGTAAAGTATTTGATTCTCATTTAACATACTGATCTACTAAATATTGTTGAAATAAATGACCAAAAAGATGTAAAATGTTTTGTGTTTTGTTATAATTTCGAACTTGAATTCTATGAACAACAAATTCTTGAATTGTAACTTGTTTTGCTTTTTGTTTTGATTGGTGTACTTGAATTTGATTCAAATCTTCATCTCCTGATATAATTTCATTTTCACTTTCATAATCAATTTTAGTTATTTCTTCATTATATCCAACTTCTGTTCTTCTTTTTTTAACTGCAACTATTTCTTTACTAACTTCAATTTCTGTTTTTTTTTCTTAATATTAGATCCTGTACTTATACTTGAGACAGATCTAACTAATAAATTTTCAAATACTTCTGTTGCACCAGTACTTTCAGCAATACTTGTTGCTTGATAAATTGAAATTTGATTAGGATCAAATTCTTTATTATCAAATTCATCAAATTCATCATCAGATTGTTTATTATCTGATGTAGTTATAATTTCATTAGCTCTCAAAATATTGTTATGCCATTCATATTAACAATAAGAAAATAATAAAGGATATTGCAATGGATTATAAGCATCATGTAGTTTAGAGATTTTTTGTAACTTTCCTGTATACATTTTAAGTAAAATATCTCTTTTTTGAATTATAGTATTTTTATAATTTTCTAGAATAATTGCTGCAATTTCTAGTACTGTTGGTTGATTGTATTGTCTCATATTCTTTCCATGAGTACTATGAATTGTTAATGTTAAATCAGGATAATTATCTGCTTCAAATCCTGTTTAATAAAATACATTAACAAATGGATTGATTTTATATAATTTATTTTGAATTGCTTGAATCATATTTTCATTTAATGTTGGTATTAAATTTATTTGTCTTGTTACTTAATTATCTAAACTTGAATCATAAAAATAAATTTGTGCAAAATTTGGATCATGTCTTTCTTCAATTTCTCTAGGTATTAAGGAATTGATTTTATAATATAAAGCTTCTTGTATTCTAAATGTATAAACATCTTCTTTTGCATTTGCTAATGTTTCATCAAGATTTACTTTCAAAGAAGTAAATACAAATACTAAATTATATGCTTGAATTTGTTCTACAAATAATCTATTAGTATTAGGATTATTTGTTGTTAGTAAATTATAAAGCATATTTGGAGCAGATGCAAGTAATGCAATTTTAACTTGATCATTCATATAACAAAATGAATTTGGTTCATTTTTCTATTTTAATGCATGACAATAATTACAAATTATATTCATTGTTTTAATTGTTTAACATCTAGCTTCAATATCATTACCTTTAATCTTATTTTCATTATAATTTTCAAGTTTACATTGACCAATTTATAAAATTGTTTAATTTGTTGTTGTCGAGCTTTTTTTATGTTTTCTTGATTTTTTCTTTTAATTTCTGTTTTTTATTGTTCAGTTTGTAAAGCTTGATATTTTTGTATTCTAAGTTTACTTGAATTAGTTTGTGATTCAATAGAAGAACTTGCTTGAGATTCTTCTTAAATTAAATATAGATTTAATTTATAATATTTATTAGTAGCATATCGAATACATGCTAATTGATTTGTTTTTTCACATGATGTTTCATTTTCAGAATTTTCAGGAGCAGAATTAGCATCAAGAATATGTTGAGGAACAGGTTTTGTATTTTTAGAAGGCATTTTAAGATGTCAATAAAATTTTTAAAAAATTATTTAATAAAGTTTTTAAAAAAAGAATTTTTTATACTTATAAAATTTTTTATTTATTTATAATTAAATCTGTAATATAAATTATATAATTATTATTAATATTAATTATTAATTATTAATAATTATTAATTAATAATAATATTATTAATAATTACAAATAAGATTACCATTGTTAATATTTAAAAAATACAATATTTAAAATACTAACTAAAAAATTGTATATTACACTTTGTGCATGACACTTATACAAGAATTAAAAGTCAGTTAAACAGATTAAAAAAAATTTAATTTACTGTTTACATCTCACTTACACAGAAAAAAAAAATTAATTTACCATTTACATCCTACTTACACAGGATGTAAACAGTAAATATCAGATTATTAATTTCTTGCATAACATCATACACAAAGTGTAATATACTTTTTTAACAACAATGTTGTTAATAACCTGTTTGTTGTATTTGTTCAAAATAATTTTGCAATTATGCATCATGTGTGCAGACAGACAAAAAATTTTCAAATTATAATATTAATATATTTAATTAAGATAATAATACTGATGCATCAAAAAAGAATTTTTCATGATCAAAATGCATTAAAAACATAACTTTTGTATTACATAGTGTATAGAAATTAAGTGTTCGTCGCTACACTCTGAACAATTATTATAAAGATTAAAAACAATAAATGTCAAAAACACAAAAATATTTTTATTTGGTATTGAATTTCAAGTAATTATGCATAGTTGATTTATTTACTATACCATATTTGAGTGCCATCAAGAGGCTAATCCTATTTATAGAAAATCTATCATCAGACTGTTAAAACTTAATATAGCATTTAGTAAATAAACTGAAAATTGAAAGCCTGATAATAGATTTTCTCTTGACTTATTTGGTACAATAAACATTGTTAACTGTAATCAAGATCAGGTATAACTTAAAAACTTCAGAAAAAAATATAAATAACTTAAGATTTTACTATAATGAATATTTAATAAATTAAACACAAAACCTGCTTCTTCAATAATTTGATAATATTTGATAATTGGAAATCCTGTCAATACCAGTTTTGTTTCTAGAATAATATTCAGATGAAGCTGTATATAAGATAATTTATACAATTGCATATATTTATATTGTTTAGAATTGAACTCTAATCTATGACCTTAAAGATTTTTATTTAATTAGCTATCAACTAATAAAATTAATATCATAAGACATATTATTAATTATATTTATTATTAGAGTTTGGCTTAAGTCAGTATAGTTTTGTATATATTAGTATAAAGTTATTATTATTTTTATTTTGTTTTTTAAAAATACATATATTAGAGTGAGTCAATAGAGAAGAAACAAATTTTTTCTAAATAAAAGTTTTCTTAACTTTAAGCTTAAATATCTTAACACTATTTTATTAAATTTGATAAATTTTTTTTATTTTAATTTTATATAATTTCAAAATTAAAATAAAAAAATTTTTTAGCAAATTTAATTAAATAGTTGTTGAGTTATTTAAATTTAAAAATTAAAAAAATTTTATTAAAAATGTTTTGTCCCTTTTCTATTGACTTACTCTCATATATAGATTTAATCTGACCTCAGGACTATAAGGAGATGTTGCATAATAAACACCATAAAAACTATTATACTCTAATGCCTGTAACTCAAAATAATCAGGTTTTTATTAAGTAACAGTATTGATCTTATTAAAGAAAAGCCACCTATCTGATATAGAATATATTTGTTAAGATAATATTATCTTGACAGATAAAGTTTATGACTATGTCAATGCATCATTAGATGTTAGGTTGTATGTCATTGTGGAAATATTAAAGTTTAATAAAAAAAATTTTAAATTAATAATAAATAAGTTGTAAGAAAAAAAAAAAATAAGCAAATAAAGATAAAATAATTGATGACAATAAAAAAAGAATACTCAAGTTGTGTTTGAAACTTTTTTTTTTATAAATTCATTATAAATATAATCTTTATTTTTGTTTGTAAAAGATAAAACAAAGAATATCAAATTGCTCTTAGTTACATAATATATATTAAATCATTTTTAAATTATAACTTGCTCTAAACAAATAAACTAAAATTAATTAATTAATAAAAGTTTTGTGTTATAATTAAACAAATAAATAAAAATTTTATATTTTTTAATTGTTTTATATTAAACATCTGAATTTTTTATAACATTCTTAAAGGTTACTTTTAACTAATACTAAATTAAAACTGGTTTATTTGTTTTTGAGTAATATTATATAATATTTATATTCCTAAAATAACAATTTGTTATATTCTTTTTGTTCTAGTAGTATTGTTTCTAACTTAATAGTTTATATCATTATATATATATATAAATTGAAATTTTATAAATTTTTTTTTTTTAACTTAAGCAGTTATGTTAGTATTTTATTAAAATTCTTAATACTATATAAATTATAAAAAATTTTTTTAATATTTAAGTTTAGTATCATCTAATCACTTTATTGATACCTAAGTATGATCTGCTATATTACTTTAAACAGAAGTAGATTGCTTATCTAACTGTTACTCTATAATAGAATATTACTAATCTGATAACATCTTTTTGTAAAGAAGCAAAAAAATAAAAAAAAGATTTTATATATAAAAAATAAAAAATAGCAGTATAAGAGTAAACAATAAAAGATATAAAACAAAAAATAAAAAGAGAAAAGAAAATAAATAAAGAAAAAGAAAAACATAAAACTTGTAATTATAAAACATTAGATAGTTACAATTTTAAGTTTATGTTGGGCATAATACTTGCAATTCACAGATATTAGATAATCACAATTATAAACCTGTATTATTATAAACTATACTAAATAGAAATTATTTTATTATTTTTTTATTTACTTAGATTATTTAACAAAAACCAAAAAGAAAAAAAAACTTTGACTTTATTGTAGAGAGTCAGCATAGAGTATTAGTTAGTCCAAGAGTAGTGTTTAATAAATTTCTAGTAGCTCAAGGCATATATATAATTATATTTGTATTGTTGTATTATTTTTGATCTATGTTATTAACAATCCTATTTAGAAAAAAAACACTGCTAACTGTTTTGATAATTTTATATATTAATCTTTAGAAGAGAGTAAACTAAATTGCACACTTTTACAAAATTTTCTTCAAAAAAAGTGAAAGTATTAAGTAAATTAACTTTTTAGCTTTTGTGAGTTTTTAACTCTTATAGATGTTTTTTGTAGATTTTATAACTATATAAAACTAATATATTTAACTTTATTGTTTACTTTATAAAAAATCTTGATTTTTGTTAACTATTTCTGCTATAGTTTCAGAATACTCTTTAAACTATCATCACAAAGTTGTAATTCTTTTTTAACTTTATTTTAATATCCAACTATATATATATAAAATTCCAAAAAGGTTTTTATAAAGTTTAATATATTAAGGGGTGTAGTGACCTAGTAAAGTGGTCAGGTTGTCAACCTCCAAGTGGCAGGTCTAGAGTTCAAATCCCATGGAGGACGAATTTTGAAAAATAGGTCTATGTTATGGTAACTGTCTCTGTCAATTAGTTGGATTGGTGTATCTGTAACCTTTGTTGCACTATCTCGAATAGGAGCTTGAGGCATCTATGCTAAGTATAACATTACATCCACATAGAGGAATATTAATAACTGGTATTGCATAAGACTTCAGTGCAAACCCATGATAAGACCACTGAGTGCAAAAAGCAAAGGAACCAAAGAGTCAAAAACACACTTGGAAATCCCAAGTAAGAAGATGGCACAAAACTTTCAACGGTGCTGTTGGACTGATGGAAGCCTATGAAACACCTCCAAAGGAATAGGCAGATAAACCAGATAGCAAGATGTATAGAGGAGCACATGACCAACCAGGTTGCCAAAATCACTGGAGGAAAAGAATACTAAGATATATTATACTGGGCCATCTGAATTGGAAGTTCAGGGAGTTCTGTCAGTTCTGAGTAGTGGTTAGTAGGGAATGATGGAGAGGATGTTGGAAAGATAAGTACTGGGTTTTGGGTAAACCTTACAAGGGTAAAAGCAGTTTAATAGTTAGCCCTGATTGCAAGTGATGGTTTAGGCCAAAGAATGACCAGGTGAGCTGTAAGTATGAGATACAGAATGCACTAATAGGTTTAGTACAAAGTTAAATATAACTTAGTGACCATGGCATATCTTCACCAGTTTATCAGAGTCGCTAGTAGAGTATGATAAATGCAGAATCAGAGTGTTTAAATAGAGGATCTACAGGTAGATTCTAGGTATAGCAACTAGTGTAGAACCTTTGGGCATACTACTTAAATTAGATAATAATTAAAGTTGTACAAGTGGCTAATTGTACACTTTTTCTGTAATTGCCTCTGTGTCTGTACATGTACAGATGCTGGCCAACTTATACTATCAGTAAAATCCTGAGTCACATGTACTCACCTTAACATTTAAAAAAAAAAAAAAAAAAAAAAAAAGTTTAATATATTAACTATATTATTTTTCTATAGTTTAGCTTTTTGAAAAGTTTGGTTTGACAACAACTTCAAAACAATCTTTGGTCTGTTACTAATATTCTTCAGCACAGCCAACCACTTATAGATAAATCTAACAAACTTACACTTAACTTTAAAATTTTATAACTTCTACAGTATTTTGAAATATCAATCTTAGCCAACTCTAATGTCTTATAGCCTAACACTTTTTATAATAGATATTAACTACTAAAACCAATACTTAGTCAACATCTCAAATAATATACTTTTAAAAAATAACTTCAAAAAAACAATATACTCTATCTAAGGCAATTATGTATTGCAGACAATTGTATATTACTTAAATAGCATCATCTTTCACCAAGACTTCACAATCTAACAAAAGAAAGCCAACCTCTTTGGTTTACCTTCTAGAAGGTACAATTTTATTTGACAGATTATATTATTTAATTTTTTTTTATTTTTAA